GAGAGAGTAATCAAGAAAATCTTGATGAGAGTTGGTGAGAATTAGAAAGAATAAGAATTGATGATTGAAAACAGAATTTTAAGAGGCTATTTATAGAGAAAATCAGCCAAAAAGATAGAAAAACGAATCAGAGTTTCGACGAGAATATAACTCGATCGCAGTGTCAAAGACGCGCGTGGCGCCAAACGCTGGACTCTAGCGCCAGACGCCAAAATTGGCGCCAGACGCTAGGCGTGGCGCCAGGCGCTGGAAAACAGTTTTTGCGGATTTTGTTTTTATCATATCTTTTGGTCCAGAAATCCAAAATAAGTCATATAATATGTCTTTGGAAAGATCTTGAAGTCTACTTTCCAACCCAACTAGAATCAGATTAAAATATTTTGTAGATAAAAATATATGGTCGAAATAGTTGAAGGGTGTTAGTTTTGGATAGAGTTTCATATCTCATTCATATCCTTTTCGTTATAACTCGTATTTAATATTATAATATATCATTGGAAAGATAATTTCTAGATCTATCCAACCATATAAAATTTGGATAAAGATTAGGAGTCGCAAAAATAAAATCTGAATATATTCCACTTCGTACAAAACAAGGATTCTCAAAAGGAGTAGTTTTATTCAATTTCAAACTCTTTAAAACATATTATCAATCGTAATTCCATTAGGATATAAAAGAACCTTCTAGAGTATTCTAAAAGACTATAATCAATCCTAATAGATTTAGGAATTGTAATTAATAATAGACCCTCCTCTAGATCATTGGGCCGCATATAAAAATCAAACCGGGCCTAGTTTAGTATTTTTGCAATAACTTCCTCATTATTCATCGGAATTGGGCTTATAACATATTGTTGGAAAGGTCTTTTCAAACCCCATCCAACTACATCGTTATTGGACCCTTATCATGGACCAAACTAAACTAGAATGCACGTTTTTCAAAAATAAGCTAAGAAAAGAAATATTTTCAAAAACCGAAAGAAGAGATATTTTAATAAAAACATCTTGATCACTAGACTTTTCACACTTTCGCTTTATTCGATAATCAAATGACGTGAAAGGTATTTATCACTGGGTTTGGTTTTGGGGAGACACAAATGGGTGTCTACAACAACAAATCTATTTTTGGCGATCACTTGAATTATAATCATATTAACCCTAAAGAAGATTATTATTTATCTTATTAAGCGCGATTACAAGTATAAATTCCCTTTAAACATGCATAAAAGGCGTGATCAAGCAATAACAATAAATATATATCAAGCAACATAATAATCATAATAATAATAATCAAAATAATCATGTTAAAGCATAATAATAGCAAGATCTTAGGCATGGTACTAACAAGATTAATAACAAACCCTAGCATGTCACTAACCAATAAAGATCAAAGTTTTAGCCCTAACATCATGATACTAACATGTTATTAAGAAAGAAAATAGGAAGCATCACAAAAATCATAATTGATTTAAGAAACTTATTCTTTACCTTAAACATGATACTAGGAAAAGTATCCTAACATGATACTAGGAATCAAAATAACAACCTAAACATGATTTCTATATCATAAGATCAATTAAACAATTAAATTACTTGGATGCCTCGTATCTCTTTCTAATAATAAAATACACGCGTTAGTAACTTCAAGGAAATAATAAATCAAAACAATTAAATAAAATAATTGAAATAGAGATTTGAGACCAAACCCTTAGAAATATCAAACCTTTCACGTGTAGGGCGAAGCCAACTTTGAACTTGGCTAGGTGTGTCTAGTGCTAATGTAATGTATGAGGAATTGTGTTTGTAAAAGGCTAGGCTAGAAAGAGATAGAGAGAATAAGCTTTAACTTAGAGAAAGAGAAGAATTAGAGAATTCTGGTTGAGAATTGATGATTGAAAACGGAGGTCCAAGAACCCTATTTATAAGAAAATAGTCCGGAATTGATAAAAACGAATCAAAGTTCGAAAAGGAATAAAACACGCCTCTGTCTCCAACGACAGGGCTTGTCGCTAGGCGATAAAATTGTCGCCAACGACAGGGATTGTTTCCAAGCAACAGGCTTTGTCGCCAGGTGACAAACCTGTCGTTTGGCGCTGCAAGACAGTTTTTGCGGATTTTGTTTTTATCATATCTTTTGATCCAAATGTCCAAATAAGGAATATAATATGTCGTTGGAAAGCTCTTACTTTCCAACCCAATTAGAATTAGATTAAAATCTTTTTTAGATAAAAAGATATGGCCGAAATAGTGGAAGGGTGTCAGTTTTGGATAGAGTTTCGTATTCCATTCATATCTTTTTCGTTATAGCTCGAAATTAATATTATAATATATCATTGGAAAGATAATTTCAATATCTATCCAACCATATAATATTTGGATAAAGATTATGAGGCACGAAAATAGAATCTGAATATATTCCATTTCGTACAAAACAAGGATTCTCAAAAGGAGTAGTTTTATTCAATTTCAAACTCTTTGAAACATAATTATCAATCCTAACTCCATTAGGATTTAAGAGAACATTCTAGAGTATTCTAGAAGATTATAATCAATCCTAATAGATTTAGGAATGATAATTAATAATAGGCCGTCCTCTAGATCATTGGGCCGTATGTAAGAACCAAACCGGGCCCAGTTTAGTATTTTGGTCATAACTTCCTCATTATTCATTAGAATTGGGCTTATAATATATCGTTGGAAAGATCTTTTCAAACCCCATCCAACTACACTATTATTGGACCCATATCATGGACCAATCTAAACTGGAATGTACGTTTTTTATAAATAGGGTAAGAAAATAAATATTTTCAAAAACAGAAAGAAGAGATATTTTAATAAAAACATCCTCATCACTAGACTTTTCACATTTTCACTTCGTTTGATAATCAAGTGACATGAAAGGTATTAATCACTGGGTTTGGTTCTGGGGAGACACATTTGGGTGTCTACAATTAGCAACTTTTGGTAGTAACTAATATCATGGATATTCTCACCTCGAGGAACATTTTTTTTTTTTTTTGTTTGTAAAATTATTAATTTGTTTAGGAACTTTATTATTTAATTAGTTTTTGTTATAATTAACTTTTGTGTTACATTTTTCTAGAGACTTCTACATTTGAGTTTCAATTACCCAATTTTTAAAATTGAGAGTTTCTAAACTATGTACTCTCTCCATTCTTTTTTGTTCAACACTCTTGTATTTTATGCGATCTTTAGTGCATATGTTTGACCAATTACAGCTTTAATTACATACTAATGTAAATTATGAAAAACTAATACTACATATTTAGATACTACACTTGAAAATGATTCTAACAAGATCACAAATTATAATGTTTTTTTTTCAGTCTCCCCCCCCCCCCTTTTTTTGAATAGTGATCCAACCCCATGAATAATCTGTGAGTATAACATTAATGAACAGAGGTAATACTTTGTATAATTTACCGTTGTGAAAAAATAATAATACAAAAACTTTTGCATACCCCTGGTTTACAATAATTTTATTGTACATCGAACATTTTTACGAAAAGTGACCCTTTTTTCTTAAAAAAGTTATTACGAAAAGTTACCCTTTTTTTGTACAAAAGTGACCCCTTTTTTTGTACAAAAATGACCCATATTTCTACAAAAATGACCCTTTTTTTCCACAAAAGTAATACTTTATTTTCACAAGAGTGACCCCTTTTTTTCATAAAAGTGTCCTTTTTTTTCACAAATGTGACCTTTTTTCCCACAAAAATGACCCTTTTTCACAAAAACAGAGTATCAAAACAACATAAATAAACACAAAATTAACAATAGTCATGAAAAAAAGTACAAAAAGTACAAAAGTACATCGAACATTTTTACGAAAAGTTACCCTTTTTTTGTACAAAAGTGACCCCTTTTTTGTACAAAAATGACCCATATTTTTACAAAAATGACCCTTTTTTTCCTCAAAAGTAATACTTTATTTTCACAAGAGTGACCCCCTTTTTTTCACAAAAGTGCCCTTTTTTTCACAAAAGTGACCTTTTATCAAAATCAACATAAATAAACACATAATTAAAAATAGTCATGAAAAAAAGTACAATCACTCAAATAAATCAAACTAATAAAGATGGAGATCACATAACAACAAACAAAAAAAAATAATAAAAGAATTAATCAAGAGTTCTGATGTTATCATTGATATAGTGAACTTTATCAATTCATCTCATAGGTCGTAACCCCAAATCAACCCAGAAAAGTAGTGACCAAACAAAACCTAGTTATTGTAGTATCTATCATTTCTCACAATTGATATAGAATTAAAGGGAAAAACAATTGAATTGATTTTGAGTTATATAGGTTGATGTATATTGGAAATCGATTGGGATGAGAGAGAAAGTGGAAAGAATTATGAAATTTTCATTAAAATTTGAGAAAGAGAAGATTTCAGAGTAGTTCAAAGGAGTGATTTTTTTTAGTAGAGGAAGATGGTCGATGTCGTTAAGTATCAGTTTTTCTATTAGCTGCTATATACTTGAAGAGGAAGATGGATCTTGAAAGAGGGAGGAAAAAGAAGTAAAAGTAGTAAGTCTCTGGCCATTCAATAATTTACTGTAAATCGGACTTTTTGTAAAGTTTCTAATAATAATAAAAATATCTTTTTTCAAACTATTAAACCCACTTTCTCGAATTTTACACCAAATCAACTAACATATTACCTCGTCAAAAAAAAAAAAAAAAAAAAAAAAAAAAAAAAAAAAAAAAAAACCCTACATATTACAATTTGTACCCCTTTCAACAATATACATATGGCAAAACAATGACCAGTTAAGATCGAGTATTAATTTGCCAGGACAAACACCTATAACACTTTGTATTATACATCTTATTCTTTCCAGTGTACAACAAAACACCCAAATTCGATATATATATATATATATATATATATATATATATATATATATATATATATATATATATATATATATATATATATATATATATATATATATATATATAAGAAAACTATGTGAAAAATGGTAAGCTATCATGATCTGTAAATTCCTAAACTCTGAAAATGAGCAAATTAAATGATCAGTGATGTAATCATTTATATACACTAAAATTTGTGATTTTTGTCATGATTCCTGTCCCATATGCACAAGGATGTGCTTACTTAACAAACTAGATCCATGTTTAGAGAGCGTGTGGCAGAATGGTTTCTCCAACTGTTTCTTCAGCGCCATGACTGCAATAGGGGATTGGAAGAAATATAATTAGTAAAAACCAATATGCAGAGTGATGAAAAAGATAGGTTATATCAGAGTACCTTAAATGACTCAGAGCAGACATCCTGTATAGACAAGTAAAAACTAGGATATGTAACCCAATTGTGTAGAAGAATGCAAAAGTCCGAGCATATCTGCAACCAGCAAGTTTTGTTTAGTTCATCAACATTATAACGTTGATTTTAATGTTGATGAAAAAAAGAGGAATTTTAATGTTGGGATTCCCAGAAAAAGGCACTATTACTGAGTATTTCCAGCCAAGAGCATTATATTTTTTGGTACACAAAATTTACAGCTGCAGATAAGAGTAAGTAGGAAAGAAAGGCAACCAACCAGAATACATTTTCAATAGTTGCATACAAATGTTAGAAATAAGAATGCAAATGACCAAAGGTATCAAGCAAAATATATGTTCAATCAATGAACAAAAGGAGCTACTTCTGCATATATGACCTAAGGAGGTAAAAAAGGTCAGTGATGCAGCATTGCAGCCAGTTAGCATGTATCTGATGAGGCATATACGTGGCGGAAAACAGCAATTACAATTTGAAGTGCACTCTGAAGCTAAAAAAAATAAAGTGAAAAAATCTTAAATCTCTCTTGATTCATAAATCTAGATTTAATTTTAATCCCTGAATCTTCCAAAATTGCATTCATGGCTCCAAAAGATTTATTTCAATCAGAATTTGATTATTCATCATGCTGGGGAATCCCTGCTCAGCATCCATGGCATTTAGACACAACCTTATAGAGATGTGACATAATATTACATAAAACCTAGCATAAGAAAGCATACTTGTTGCCAAGAAGGAAACGCCCACTGGTAAGGGTTATTTTGTCTCTGAGACCCAACTCCTTGTACCTTTGATCCCGCTCCTGTAGATTAAAAAAAACAGCATAAAACATGCAGTTTAAGATTGATAAATCAGCAAACAAAATAGCAAGAGAAAAGTACGAAAACATCAATGGTCCAACTCTCTCTATCCCTTCCCCCTTTTAGTCTATCATCTTCCCAATTGCAGCAATTATAGCTACATTCCCTTAGGATGAGTATTATGAGGAATTGAGAAAACATTGACCTCAAGGAACATACTTTAGGATGCATAGACAAACTAACCAAATGGGTATACTTGTGGATAATGCCATGACTTTACTAGTCCCAATTGACACATACCCTAAAATGTATAGAACAAATTTACAAATCTTAAGCAAAAACTGCACAGAAACTTCAAATTATAAGAAAGTAATAAATTTTAGCCATCTAGCATAAGGACATTCCTTCGAACCCTTCTTCAACTAATTATATATTTGTCAAATATGGCCTCTTTCATTGTCCTATTTAGATAGTCAATTTCAAGTTTCCATAACTATTTAATACTTCTTCCATTCCCCTAATATTGCAACAATTACCATTTTTAGAAGTTTTACAAATAGTGCAACATTTCCTTATTTGTGCATGCTTTCTTTTTATCTCTCATCACAAGGGTCTCTAATTCTATTTTTCTCTCTCCTCAATCCTCATCTTAAAAAATCCATGCAATACAATGGTGCAATATTAAGAGAATGGAGGAAGTATTAGTTGTGACTTTGTGAGTGTATTTCAGCCCGTGAATTGAAAATTTGTCAATTAATTATAATTCTTATTTATAACTTTTACTGGTTTCTGAAAAAAAAAATGAAGAGAGTAAGATTTACCTTTTTGGAGAAAGCAGCAAAAGGATTAATATCCTCTTCATAAATCTTCTTATACTTGGACTCGACATCAGAGCTCATGCCACTTTCTAGATCATCAGAGCCCTATATTTATGATACAAAAGGATTTACTCTGGTGACCTGAGAAAAAGGAAACACATATTATACCTGGTATATAACACACCTTCTTTGACCCTCTAGATATCACTTTCTCATGATTGTAGTCTTGGACATATCGGATCTTTCCATAAAGTTTTACATTGTCTGCTTTTGTTTTCTCCAGTTCTTCTGTCAGTTTCCGATTCTTGTCCTTCAACTGCCTTACTTCCTGTAAGATAGCAAGTTGGAGCATTATTCTAGCAAGAAATCTTTGCAAGATGTTATCATGAGCAATCAAAATTTGAACAAGAGGAAAACTGCTTTAACTTTATCAATTTACAACTACCACCCAAAAATATTAAAGATGAGAGGCAAAGGCTAATAAAGAAGAAACCAGGGGAAATAGTACAATGGTGAAGCAACTTACTTCTTCAGTCTCACGGAGTCTAGCTCGGAATCTATCCCTCTGATTACAAATCACCTTAAGCATTGAACTTTGGTCCTGATCAGCAGACGTCTGCTTCTGTTCTGCACTCTGATCAATTCACGGTCATGTACTAGTGAGATATAACATAGGAATCTGGAAAAGCAACATACTCTAAAATAGGCATCTATAATTTAAAACAAAATGAAAAATGAAAAATAACGTATAAAATTCCCAAGGTCATTTGTTCCATTGTGTCCTCACTAAAGTCCATTTTGAAATCGCCATGATAGTTCATATTACCAGAATGTTTCATAGAGTTTAGAGGGACAAAGTGAACAGACGATGCATTGAAATTGGGAACTCACGTATTATTCAATTATGCAAAAAACCAATTTAATATCTCAAAAAGCATCACAAATGCACTGGCACAAATAAAAAAATCACAAAAAATATATGAATCAAACAGTATTAAAAATTCTAAAATAGTAAAGATAACCTCAATGACAAGATATTTTCTAAATAAGAGAAGTGATAAGCATTCACCCAAAAAAATCCTACAAAATTAAACTACTAGCATACCTCAGATGGCTCAGTAGAAACAGACTCTGAAAGATCCCAATCATTAAACAATGAGCCTCTCCTCTCTTTAGAGTTATATCCCTGCATTGCATATTTACAAATATAATTATAAAATACTATGTTCAATCATAAAGAGGTCTGTAAGAAAATATATAGATTATACAAAGTTATATTGAACGGTTGTCGATTATGAAGGTTGAACACTTGATCTTCGTCCATGTAAACATACCAGCTAGCAATAAGTTAAAAGCTAGCTTGAGAAAATTTAAAAGAGCTTATTGATAAAATTTTTATATACCATTTTTTTTAATTCTCTAAAAACAAAGAACAAACATTCTTGAAAAAGTAATTATCAGTTTCCCCCAAAGAAAAACTTGTCGCAGCACATTAATTATCACTATTCTCAAATAGCACTTCTGATTAACCAAAAACCAATATTGAACATGTACCTTCAATATATCATCTTCAAGCTTCTGAATTAGTTTTTGCTGTTCATCAACCTTAGCATTAAGTTCTGATACCTTTGCTTCAGCAGCTTCAAGGAATGATATTTTCTCAGACAGTTTTACCTAAGAAGGAAAAATAATATCACAGAACAATCAATAAAATAAGCAAATCTTTAAATGCTCCTCTTATTTATCAGAGTGAAATAAAAGGCAAATAGAGAATTATCTTATCCAATGAAGTTATGAATTATTCATACCTTCAACTGAGTGAGTTCGTGTTCCATTTTTCTGTTTTTGTCGAGCAACAAAGATTCCAATTTGCTCATCTCTTCCCCACTTGTGGCTATTTCCCAATCTTCAGCCTCAATAGAATTGTAACCCACTGCCTATATAATAATCAAAGAACAGTTCAGACACACAAAATCAAGCCATTAGCATGGCTCTCAGACAGAAAAATGAAATTAAGAATATGTTAAAGAGAAAAATAAAGAGATATTAGAGGTAGAAGGCTTTTCATTCATTGTGGACTCTTCTGAGAAATAATATTTAAATAAGAAATATACACTAACAATTGCATAGATCATCACTTGGAGAACTTGATACAATAATGTAATAAAATTGTCATGCAGCTGAAGCAATAAAATGAAAATCTACAATTCCACAAGAAAAAGAGTCTATTTAAGGTGACAGCTGTAAGTTTCTTCAAAAGAAAGCTTCACATTTCAAATTTCTCTCTTCAGGTTAAGATCATTGTTTGCTAGATTCAAGAGAACCAGAAATTTGCACCAATTACCAAGATGGTAACATGTCATCAATTCAAAACTCGAATAAAAGAAACCACATGGTCCTCATGTAATTAGTTGTGGTGATAAGAGGTTGATCAATTTTCTATGCTTAAGCTTTCTGACCACTTGTTTTTCAGATCATAGGGAGGTGAAAAAACAGATTCTTCATGCCAATTGTTTTGGGTATTTTCAAGCTTCAACAATGAGTTTCAGGAAAGCAAAACAAGGAGATCCCTCGGCAAACAGCTTCTTCAGCCATCTTGTTGGCAATGTGGTCGTAGCTAAGAACTCCTATACTGGGGTGCCCTTGGCAAATTTCCTTGAGTGAAAGACTGTGTTCCAGCCTCCCTATGGGCTCATTGTTTCTAACGGCCCATATGGTACACATTACAATAGTGGTAATGAATTTCAATATGATTTTTGGAACACAAGTCTTGTATAAATGTCCATCTAATGGAACTCTATCCTCATTTATGGTTTTCCTTGAGCCATTCATACTCGCCCCTATAGTCTAGTAACAGTAATTTATGAAGAGGAGACAAGTTTGGGGATGGACAAGATTTTCCCTTAGTTTTAAAAGGCGCAAGGCGCAAATGGTCCTTGCAGCCTAGGCGCGAGGCGCAAGGCGAAGGCACGCGCCTTTTGTATGCAAGGCGCATGTATTTAGATATTTATTTCAAATTATTTTTTACTTTGATTGTACTTAATACCAATTAAAAAGATTCATAATAAATTAAATAATGATATATGTAAAGCTAAGGTAGTCTGAATTTGAAAAAATGTCCATCATTCTTCAATTTATAACTTAAATATTAGTTATTTTCCTTCAGGCGCAAAGGCATGCCTTAATAAAGGTGCTTTGAGGCGCACGAGGCGCGCGCCTTCCGTAGGTGACTGAGCCTCGCCTAGCTAAAGCCCATTCCCAGGGAGCGAGGCGCGCTTTTTAAAACCAAGGATTTTCCATGAGCGTTGTCATGCAAATTTCCTTTGTTCAATAAATATTGCAACATGTAAACTTTTAAGATTCCCAACACACAACTTTAACTATTATCATCCTAGTAATCTTTAAGTAAAAGTTATAAGACTTGAATAAACTGAAAGTATCAAGACCAATCTAACAGGATCCACATGACTGAGTTTATACATATAAAAAAGAAAAGATGGTCAAATGAAAGTATGTGTATGTATTAATGGTCAAATGGGAGTATGTGAATGTATTAATGGCCAAACGTTGCAATGTTTATGGAACAGAGGAAGTGTAAATAATTATCACTACCACCAAAAAAGCAAGCTATCAGGACATCACCTAGATTCTATTTGCCTGAAGTGAACACAATTGAAGCTCCATATATTCTTGTGTAAGAAGTGTTCTACCCTCCTATAGGCTCATAGGTCTAGGGTCATCCCCTCAAATGTATGTGTCGACGTAAAGAGATTAAGGTTACTTGTTTTTCTCCTTAATTGGAAGACTCTTGGTCCTATCACTTCTAAACATTTATTTTCCAATATTTTTAACCTTAGCTGAATCTGTATATAGACGCTTAGGTGCATAGAGACAGCAATAGCATTTAATGCTTATAAAATTTTTCAGCAAAGGCTGCTTGGCTTTTTATAAAACAAAAGGAGGTGGCATGGGGCTGTAATAAAATATAATGTACTAGTGTATAGATTAGCATATATATTATATCAGTCATCACAATAAAGTAGAGATGAAATAACCTGCAAAATTTTGACTTTTTTGCGCAAATCTTCAACCAATTTAGAAGTTGGTCGAGCCTGCAGCTCTTTCTTTAGCTCCTCAAGGGCAGTCTCCTGTGAATCCAAGAGTATTAAAATCCAATAAACAACCAAAAAGGTCCACATGTGATATTAAGGGAGGAACAAAAAGATATTGGTTAATAATGATATTAAGAAAATATTAAATATGGAAAATGAAAATTATCAACATTGAAAGATATATTTATGCCCCAAGTCGATCTAAGATAATAAAATTTAAAACCGAGGCCTAAACTAAATTACACTAAACATATCATTCATTATAATTTTCATCTTCCTATCCACAAAAACCAATACTTAGGAAAGTACTTTGAGCCTCAGAGGACCTTTAAACATTATGACCATTCCACTAAGGCTGATTCGTCAGCTAATAAGAATTTAAAGTATGTTGAATATAGACCAATTAATCAGAAGCATTGAGCCTATTCCACTTCATGAAATGAATGGGGCACATGTATCAAATTCTTTCACCAAAAGATTAAGTTTGGTTCTTCTTGAAAAAAATTAATCAAAAGCATTGAGCCTATGTACTTGAAGAAATTGTCCTAAAAGGAAGGCATAAGGCTCTGTTTAGTTCACCTAAATTATCCTAATATGATCTAGTCTAAGTTTTTCCTGATTTGATCTGAAATATGAAATAAGTCCAAAAATAAGGTTAACTAAATAGGCCTAAGTTTGGTTTTCCTACTTAAAAATCTTACTTCTACCCAATGTTGTTGGAAATTTAGGAATTTGCATCTTCTTTTTCTACTGCCTACACGTATCCTTAACTTCATTTCCAAAGTTCACTCAGAATTCAATTTATGGAAATCTCATATATGGGTTACAAACTTACAATCCCACTTTCTGATGCCAAATGGTAGGGAAGTGTAAATAGATTTATTGTTCAAAATTTTAAAATTTTAACGAACTCCGTTACACTATAGAATTTATTTAGAATCGACCTCTTAGTTTATTTTGTATATCAACAAAACCAAAATAAAAGGCAAAATAAACAAATCAAATGCCCCTTTTCACCTATCTTCTCTCCCTTCTCCTTTATTTCGATTGACACACTCTTACTACCCCACTTCTATAAAAATGTTCTGCTGTCCTTTCACCAGTCACCAGAAATAGCCACCAGCTACAGAAGAAAACAAGCAAACCCTTATCAGTTGCAATCCTGGAGCAACCATATGCCTGAAGGCTTGCCTCTTAATTTCTATCAAGCAAAGCCTTGATTAAACAAATCCAGGTTTTCCGTGAAAGAGATGGACTGCAATTTGTGAGAAGCAAGAGAAGAAAGTTTTTTTTTTTTTTTTTACAGAGACTAAGATGTTCCAGGATGGCAGTTGCTAGGGTTCGCAAGCAAGAGTAAAGATAAAGGTATGGTTAGTAAATCTTGAGAAAATAATGCACTAATCAACTCTTTTAACTTAGGTTTGTAATTAATCTCCAATGACTCCAACCAGCTTTGGTTACTAACATGTTCCTCCTGCTCAAGAGCAAAATAATGGATTCCAAGCAACGGAATGGAATTGTTATTTTTTTTTCGAACCTAAAACCAGTTATGAAATGCTATAATCCAAACATTTATACCCTACGTTGGCCACAAACAATATTCATTATCAAACAAAAATTTCGCTTCATTTCAAAAATCATAAACTGAAATTTTCGAAAACAGTTTCGGTTTATGAAAATGAGAATTTGTTAAAAAAACATGAATAAACTAAATTACCAGAACATTTAGATAATATAATGCAAATTTGAAACTATGACACAATTACCTTTTCATGAAGGAGAGCATTTAGTTTCTTGGTTTCAGAAATATGATGTTCCCTCTCATTTGATAAAGTGGTCTCAACTCTATGAAGTTCCATATTCAATTCAGATATAATCTTCTCCTTTGCACTCAAAGAGTTCTCAAGAGCACTATTTGGATCCTCAGTGTCACTGCAAACAAGAAAGATAGAATAGTTTGGACAATATAAAATTAAAATGACCTTAAAATAAAATTGCATTATTATAAAAGCATTTCATTATTGAGCATATTTAAAAGCCTTTCCAAATTTGATTAAAAAATAAAAAATAAAAAATAAAAAAAAAAAGACTCAAAGAAGGGAAGAAGAATGAAATCCATCACTAAAAAAACAAGGACATGTAAGGCAAATTTCCCCAGAAAGCCATATAAAAGTAAACCTTACCCTTCCAAATTATCAGGTAGTAAAATATCAGTGGTCAATTCCAAAGTCCCAAAATGAAATGAAAAAAATCCAAAATAATTCATAACTGATTCTTTTTTCACTTCCTCTCTTTTCAAATCAACTTGTTAGGAGGAAAAAGGGATCGTCGGAAGTAGGGTAAAAATACTTATTCCAATTTTTTGTGTAGTTCCACATAGAGGCTTGAACTTTTTAAAACCAAACACCACTTTCCAAAAATTCATATTGATCCACTCCAACCATGAAATTCTAACCATCATCAAGCAGGGCGGGTAAAAAAACAGCTTTACTGCCCTTATTTCTCCCACAACAAACAAACAAGAACGATACAAAAAAATAGATAATGCCCTTCCAAAAATGGAACATAAATCTCAACCTAGACAATTTGACCTTTCTGCAGTATATCATGTCTATGATATCCAAGTTTCTTTCAAACCAACTAAACATGTCAAATATTTCCCTAGATAAACTGACAATTTCATGGTAAATGATTTATTTTATTTGAAATAATGTATGGTAGAAGTTCACAATAAAACAGATTAAAGCCTATTGCTCACCTTTTCTTGTTTTCACTATCTTCATTTGCAGACTGTAATTGAGATCGTAGATGTCCCTGAAATGAAAATGTGGGACAGAAAGTTAACATGGAGATATCCTTAATAGAATCAATGAATTATTATTCTGGTTTAAACTAGGTACATAATTAAAAGAAGCATGCACCACATGGAGATACCCTTAATAGAATCAATGAATTATTATTCTGGTTTAAACCAGGTACATAATTAAATGAAGAATGCGCCACTGCTCAAAAACTTAAAAAACAACAAATGAGATTCTAGAGTAATCAAAATACTCCAGATTTCTCCAGTAGCACATGAGATGATTTACCTTCTCTCTCTCAAGACTTAGAAGTCGGCTTTGAGCACGTTCAACTTCATCCATCAAAAGACTAAGTTCTGACTGCTTTGTTGCTGTCTCCTCCTCTGCAATTCAAGTAGAGTTAGAGGAACAAATCTCCAAACAAAAGCATGCTGATAAACAGTATTCATCATAAACCCAAAGAAAACATAAAATCAACAGAACAAGTGTAAAATATATGTAAATCTACACGTACTTAAGTAATACATGGCTTACACTATCAAAATACATGGAGCCTAAGCAGGCATAGATTAAGGTTAGATGCTTAGAGCTATCTAATTATTTACTTTAGAACCATTAAAAAGAAAAAACCTCAAATGCAAACTTCATAGGCTAAAAAAAATTTGCACACAACTACCCACAATTTTTGAATTTTTATGCTCACTTGACGTAATTATTTATTTTCCATCTCTTCCAGCATCATCAAATAATTTTGTTTCATTACTATTTTTATATTAGATAAGTTTTTTTAAATTAATACTCTCTCCATTCCTTAACGTTCGTCCCATTTAACTTTTTTGCATTATTTCCAATGCACGTATTTGAGCTTGAACACATCTAAACAAATCTAACAAGATCTCGTGAGATTATTCTTATCTAATACTTCATCTGATTCTATTTACTTAACTAACATTTTTAAAATGGAGATGTCATATTACTTGACTCATACTATATTTGGTAAGCTTTGGTAGACTCGTTATCTAAATTACCCTCATAAAGTGCATATGGGGAGAACTTTTGGGGTAATCAAATACGCCATGTGCAACAAGGGCCACAAACTACAATTACTCTCCTCAAATATTGTACCAAAGGCTATGGGACAAGTAAATAGAAATGGAGGAAGTATTTATTATAACTTTCATTGTTAAAGTTTCTCTCCTCAAATTGAAGATTCCAAATGGGACAAACTAAAAAGAACAAAAGGCAAAGTTTGATGTTTAGCGTGTACTGAGTTACTTGTATGCCAAAAACTTAGAGCGAACGATACATGTATTGGTTTGATGAGTGATCATGGTTTCATATCTAGGCTGATAATGTAACATACATATCAACTTCCCAACTTTACAAAATAATATTTCTTAGGGAAATTCTCTTTGGTACTCGTGTTTGGGGTTGCGGGGTTTAGGTTTGGAGTTGGTAGCTGGCGGTGGAGTTGGTGGCTGGGCGTGTGTGTTGGTGGCTGTGTGTTGGGTTCCGGTGGGCGATGGGGATGGGGATGGGGTGGTCTGAAATGGGAGAGGGTGGGGCTGATTTTCTGAAAAAAAAATTTGTTTTTTTGTTTTTGTTTTTTTTTTTAAATTTTTTTTTGTTTTTTAATAACTAAAAAATAATTAACCTATTAATGGCTAACACGTGGCATATAACTTACAATAACCGGTCATCAATAGGTAATGAATCTGTTGGAAAAGGTGGGGTATAAAGGTTGGATTTTTGAGGAATAAAACGAAGGTTGGGATTTTTAGAAGGAAAAAGTGCAAAGGTTGGATTTTTCTTTTCCATTTTTCCTAAAATATATCATTAATGTTATGGTTAATATATTTTAATAATTAATGGTTGCCAAAGATAATTAAGTTTTTTGCATTTCACCAAAGAGAAAATTAAAAAAATTAGAGTACCAAAGAAAATTTCCCTATTTCTTAAGTCATAAACTCATAACTCACAACGGACTATTACATATAGATTTAGATAGAACTGAGAGGACCTAATTGAAAACCAATATGGGCCAATATAGGCCAATAAGGCTAACACTACCAACTCTTTCTATATTTTCACAATAAAGCACCACTTCTTACAAGTGCAGCCATTAGTCCATTAATACAACAACAATCATTACCACAATTCAAACCCTGGATTGTTAGATATGAGATGTGCAAAAACTTCATCTAGAATCGACTACATATATAGGTTTTAGTAAAATATAAATATGATACAACAGATTTAGATGACCTAATCCCCAAAAAGATGAAGTGTTGAACAACTGTAAGCTACACTTTAGCTTAGTCACGAATGAGGATATTTAATGGTTCAAATCAAAGCAATTTCATGTAAATAACTGATGGCTTTTAATTTAGGGCTCTAATAAATGTAATTTCCAAGTAATTAAATGAGGGCTTTCACTAATTTTGACTTCAAAGCCGAGCTTTAGTGTAGAGAAATTTCTGTCTTTTATTAGTTCTAACCTTTGTCTCTTCTCACTCTAATATGGACAACAAGAGACATTGAACAACTGTAAGAGGTGCCTCTTGAACAACCAAGGACACCAAGTGTGCAAGATGCAAGCTGGTAGTTCCTCGCACTTGAGGCACACTTTAAAAACTTAAGGAAAAAAATAAGCTCTTCTTTAGAAAGTACGAAGCGAAATTGTCATCTTAGTGTCACACTGTCACTTAATGTCTTAAATAATGTCTACCAAAGAAATACTTCAAGGATGATAAAAAATTAGCCTATATTATTATTTTTTATCATTTCATTTTCTCATTAACACCGACATTGGTAGTGCATTATCTTCCCAAGGAACAAGGAAGAATGGGGTAGGGGAATGGAGGCTAACATGAAAAAAAATTATGCTGCGTTAAACCATCTAGATCATGCTCAAATACAATTTGCACGGTAAAGTCCAAGCAGTGCAATGAATATTTTCCTTGGCAAGTAAAATAACTTTTATGATCTCCAGGAAAAGAGAGTACCTGATTGAGCACGGAGCTCAAACAACTGACTCTGGGCAAGTTCATGCAACTTTTGCATTGTTGTGACACTTTCTTTAGCTTGCCGCAATTGGTCCTGTAGAGACTGTTCTCTGCAACGAATAGGAGATAACAAGTCTCAATGATAGTACAAAGTTAAAAAGCTTGCTTGCATCATGTTTGCAACATAAATCTAATCAGAATTCAGAAGCAGAAATTTTAAGCCTATTTCTGCTATCTTTTGGCATTAAAAGCTTGCTTGGGGAAGTCAATAAGAACCTCAGCTCACAACCTTAAGGTCACGGGGTTGAATCCTGCTAGCTACAGAAGCTAGAAGGTGGCAAAGCCCTTACCTTGGATGGTAGGGCCCTGGCCCTGGCTCCTCTGGCCTGTTCATTACCTTTTAGATTTTCTTTTGGAATTTATACCCTTAATCCCAGACAACAGTCATATATCATGCTTAATTAACAACAGCAATGTAAAAACATATAAATTCCAGATAAAGGAAAATTCTCTTTTTCCACAATGTGTCTATTTGCCATTTTGTTTTACCTCTTCTATAGATGTACATGTACTTATAGCTCTCTAGCAGTCATCCATTATCAAAGAAGGCCATCTGTATTCTTCCCTGCCCAAACCATTTGCACCAGGTGGTGTTACACTTACACTGTTACTGCTTCTATTAACCAACTTTTAAGAAGTAAGTTCAGCCAAGATGTTTCATAAGGCTCTGATTATATGAATGTAACAAAGAAAATAGAGAACACACATGGTAAAGCTACAACATAATTCAATCAATTTCTTAAGTTAAACGAGAACTTTTATATTTGTTAATTAAGCCTACCAAACGGCTACAAAACGGGTGACAGAAATTAATGAGAAAATGGGCCTTGTTGCATTTCAGTTCATTATTTCCTTCAACAAACAAGGAAAGATCTGATTACTAAGGTTGAACTTCATAAACACACTCTAATTTTGAGGGCTCTAATCGCTCTGCAAGAGATGATACATAGAAGACCAATGGAATCAAGAATACACACAAATTAAAGCATTAAGATACAACTGAAGAAATTATACAACAAATGATAAATGAGTCACAGAATTGGAGGATTACTTCAAGCACATTTGTGAGACAAGCATATCGAGTTGCCATATGTTGCATGATATTTCATGCTAGAATACTGAATAGATACAAGTGATTTGCAACCCAATAAGGTGATTTTGTCAGAGGTACTAGTGACCTCACAAATAAGGTGACTAAAGTGATCTTAAATGGATAAGAAAAAGGAAAAATTGACAGGAATAATCCCAACTTTGCCTCATTCACTCAAAATAATCCCAACTTTGCCACAAAAATAATCCCAACTTTGCCTCATTCGCTCAAAATTATCTCAAGGCGAAGAAGGTCAGATCCGACAGCAACACCTTGTTTTTCCTCTTCGTTATCACGCCCGGTGGTGGTTTCGAGTTTGTTGGTTGATGGGTGGGAGCTTTCGGGTCAGGTTGTTGTGGTTGGGATGTAGTGTTTGGGTTACGATGGTTGTGGTAGAGGTAGGTGTGGAGCTGGTTGTGGCACAGGGGAGGTAGGGTGGTGGAGGTGGCTGGGTTGGTGGTGGCTAAGGTGATTTGCAGTCTTAATTTGGTTTTTTTAAAATATTTTGAAAGTAATTATTTTTAAAATTGTTAGTTTTAAATTAGTTAATTAAGTGTTATTTTATAACAAATAATCATTTAAAATAAAATCTTATTATTGACCAATCACGTGGTGATACATGTAAAATATTTTCTTTTTAAAAAAAAAAAAAATTACCCACTCAACAAGTTAACGGTCACTTGGGACCATTGGAAGCAAATTCATATTAAAGTTCAGATTGTTAAAAAATAATCGAAAGTTGGGATTATTTTGGGCGAATGTGGCAAAGTTGGGATTATTCTTGTCAATTTTTCCTAAAAAAAATGATAAAAGTACTCTTCGATAGAAGCCACTAAAAAGGTAGAAAAGACGCAAGAAAAGTACAGGGTAATGTACTAATGTGAACAATCAGAATTGAAAGATGATCTCGTGCCAAATATGTCCAACAATGGCCCTTGATAAATTACAAGGCACCCTAAGATCCACATCCAATGTTTTAGGGTGGTTTGCATGCCTCCTATACAAGTCATAGAGCCACAGCACGTAATCCAAAAAAAGGAACCCAAAATGGCCAATGCCTTCTTTTTATCTCTTGCTCTTGTGTACTCACCAACTCTCTATTTAGCATAATGCCAAATTTTAGATATACTCCATATTACGTTGTGAGGATACAGAATTTTTTTAGAATTTTCCTTTTCATGTAAACCGCTGAAGTTAGGTAGCATAAAAGTTTGTTAGAAATGTTAGAGAGCATGACTCCCTCTGGTTCTTTGGATCATAGACTTAGGCTATGGGAAAGGGATTCTTTTAATACTTTTGGTGTAGTTCCATTTACAAACACCCAATAGCAACTGCTAATGTTAAATTTCGTTGTCTCGAGATTTTAGTTGTGAGTTCAGCTCCAAGTGGAATTGGCAGCCACAGCCTCTAAGAACATCTCTCTTAAAAAGATTTTTTTTTTTTAAAATCAAATTATGTACTCCCTCCATCCCTTATCTACAAGTCTATTTCCCATTTTTCATGGGAATTAAGAAACTTACATACTCCTTAAAACCCATGATTGGGAAGTACAAATATGCATGTGGGGTTAGAGAGAGATAGAGAGAAAGAAAAGGTAGTCGGTAATTAATGAAGAGATGGAGAGAGAGAGAGAGAGTTGAAAAATAATGTCAAAAGTTCAAAAAAAATAAAAGAAAAATAATGACAACTCATCAAAAAGAGGGAAAATAATCAAAAAGTACATTCTTTAAATAGAAATAGGTATTAAGGGGTGGAGGGAGTAATTATCTTTTTTATAAGAGGACACTTTGTCCACTGGATGGTAGAACTTAATCGCTTACTAGATCTTTTACATAAGTGCTATTCCACAACACAATGAAAAATTATGGTGCAACAAAGATTTACATTCAACACTTCTATAGAGATTTACTTCTCAAGTAATTTTGATCAAAGAGAAGCCTAAAGAATTCATTGTCAAACTTCTGAGCACTCATTATATTACAAGAGGATATGCACAACTGTTATCCCCATGGTTCGAAAAAGCGGTTTGAGCATGGTTTCGGTCGCGATCGCGGTAACGTGTCACGGTAACGGTATTGATGCGGTTATCGCGGATGTGGAGACTGAATTTCAGTTTTATAATTTTATATGTTTTATCAATATTACAACTCATAAATTTTAAAAATTAATATTTTTATCTTTATCTAATAATTAAAGTTAGTACTCCATATTATTTTCAATTATTAGTTCAATTCCTATAAACTAAATTGTCTTAACGGTAAGTTATGGTAACACACTAACACATAAATAAAGAGTAAAAAGAAAACAACTTGTTAAGTTACTGGAGTAGGTCAAAAGTAAAAAGTAATGGTTTATAAAATGACGCTTGTCCCACATGGGCCACATCCCAACTCTCACCTATCTAACAGCTCATTGGTCACCTCACACCCCTCTCAAAGCACCCCTCTCTCTCCTTTTCTTTCTGTTTTTCAATGGAGTCAGAAGAAAAAATCACGAATTTATGCGATATCTCAGACGATTCATAGTTATATCGGTGTACCGGCCGATTCAGGCCAAAAATGCGGTGTATTTTAATAACCCGCATCAAATCACTCAATCTCGGTTCGGTAAAATTGAAAACCGCTACATCTCGGCCGATACGTTATGATACGGCTGCATTTTTGAACCCTGGTTATCCCACCTCTCAGTCTCGCAAAAGAGAGTTCAGCAGTCGTATAGATCTAGATGACAGGTACTAAAAACCAAATTTTAATATGTAATAAATATATTAGATTATCTAAATACCGTTCTTTAAGGACTTCCATCGTCTTCTGGTTCTCTTCTGCCAAACTTCGCTGCTTCATTTCCACTATTTCCTTTACTTTTTCTTCCATCTGAAGGTTTACCAAACAAAAGATAATAATTGGAAAAAAAAAAAAAAAAAAAAAAGAAAAGAAAAAAAAAGGATACTAGAGGAAACAAACGTAAGAAAAAAAAAACCACAATTTTTAATTTTAATTTCGCAAATGATTTTCCATATTAGAAGTGAATGTTTCACCTGCTACTCTACCATTGATATGCAAACACATACCCAGGCTTCTCCAAAATTTTATAAACTATCCATCATCAACAGCATAAGGATATCCATTTTTCCTTCTTTACTTTGTAAATATAGCCTTATTTCCAGTGGAATAAAGATTCCGACGTTAACGTAAACACACAAGGGATGAGGTATGTTAGATCTGGCATGTGGCATTAAATTTGGCAAGAGAGAAATATTTGATATAAATAACAAATACTTCCTCTTTTTTAGTTGACACTTTTCTATTATCACGTTTACCAACGCATGTTTTTAACACTTAATAACTTCAATTATCAACATTGTAAAATTATAAAAAGTGGATATTAATAAAATATACATATAGACGATTCAAACAAGATCCCACGTGATTATATTTTATCGTATGTATGAATCACAAAAGTGGTCAAAGTATAGCGTGTGAATAGTGTAAAAGACAAACAGTGTCAACTAAAAAACGGAGGAAGTACACTGCAAAAGAGAAAGCATCCTAAAAAATACACCTGTTGCTCTAATTGACGATTGCGCTCTTCGAGCCTCCTTATTGTTGCCTGTTGATTTTTCAAATGTGCCGATTCAGCCCTAAATTCCTCAAGCTCAACTTTCATTTTTCTGTTCTCAGACTCCAGTTCAGAAATTTTAATATCTTGGTCCTGCACGGAGTTAGATATTAGTGAACAGATACTCAACAAACATAAGCGTGAGACCAAACAAACATCATCAACTCTGAATAAGATACTAGTCATGGATAGAAAACCACTAATCCCAATAGTACTTTGTATAACATAATAAATCTTAAAGATCAATTCTTAGTTCTTACGAAGTGGTGTTGACCACTCACAGTACTTACCAATGCAATTTTTAATCAAAGAATATTCTTCTCATATACAAAGGATAGGCATGCATAAGACCCACAAACTAGATAGGCATATGACACAAAGAAAGTGACCGAATCCGCAACAAAACACATGATTGCATTTGCATATATAGACTACAGAGAAGTACAGTTATAGCAGAAGATTGCCTCGCCTGATACAGAAAGAACAATGTAACAACTGTGAAACTTTTCCATTTAAAACCTATGGTCAAGGCGAACATGTTGGGGAGTGAATTTACAAATTCGGTGAAAACAATAAAACCCTAAAATATGAAGAAGATGAAAGGAATTTGGACTCGAAAATATAGAAAAGACAAAGGAGGAAAGAAAACTCAAGTTAATGCACTACGAGTCTATGAGGGCTAACTTTCCCACACATTAGTCCAAAATCTATAAATTAGCATAAATTCCATATGACACATTCAGTGAGGAGACTAAATTATAAGATCTTAAAAGATCAAATAAGCACTCACAGCAATTGATGCAAGAGCAGGAAAAGGATCTGGAGCCTCATAGAGTTTCTGGTAGATATTAAGAAACGCATTTTCTCCGAATTTCGCACGCTTAGTTAGGTTATCAACTTCTTCCTGATATCCCTTAAGCAATGAATTAAATAAATTCAGTTTTTCCTCAGCCGAAGCTTTCTTGAAGCCTGCCCAAGTACAGTACAAACAACCATAAACCTACATGTTTCTACGAATTCGAATACAATTACTACAATTTCAACAAGTAGTGAGAGAAATTACAACCTCGAGTGCTCTCGGCGAGTTTACGCCGATTCTTCTGGCTATTCTCCTGATTTTCAGCAATTCGAAGCCCTTGTTCATCCAACAAACTCTTTTCCTTCTCTAAATCAAATTCTGCATTGAATATTCATCCAGTAAAACCCTAATTAAACGATCAAACTAACAATTTCCTCTACACTAACCCTAAAATCAATCGACGAATCATAAATCATCCAATTAAATCGAAATGCAGCATTAAAAATGAAAAAAAAAATGAAATCAGGAAAAATACCTTTCCAGAAATTGGCGACAACAGAAACAGGAGAAGCAGAAGATGAAGTCGAAATTTCTCTCTCCAATCCACTCGGTGGAACCTCCATTGATGATTTCGGATCTGCAACAAATGGAGGAATCCAAGGGTTTTGTGATCACGATTGATTCTGACTTAGATCGATTAATCTCCAACAATGTAAGAATTTCTGGATTTGTGAGTGAACTTCGAACGAGAATTAGCGCGGGAAGTTAAAAATTAAGATCTGATTGAAGAATTAGGAAGGAGTTTTGGCTGTTTTGGCAACAAAAATGTATCTGGGCTGCACTTCATCGTCATATTTTGGCTGCAAAATGATCCTTACTCATACAAAGTGTTACTCCGTCATTAACTTTTGCGTTCCAAATTTTAACATAGGTTGTCAATCGGGTTAGTTAAGTCGGGTTGGATTCGGATTGGTTCATGTGTTGAGAATTGGTGAATTACTATTAAGTATTAATTATGACTCTATGAGTAGAGATGTCGGTGGGGTGGGTCAAATAGATCTCGGTTTAGCTGGTAGTGGGGCGGAGATGTGGATAAAAACCATACTCATCGGATGATGGGTCGGTGGTGGATTTTAGGTTGTACCCGCCCCATCCCTACCCTACCTCGTCCCGCCCTATTCCATACCCAACCCTTATAAGATTAAAAATAAAATTATTGTTGTAAATTTATACTATTATTATGGATGTTCATTATGGCTTGTAACTCCCGCATCTTTATGACTCCTATTGTAACTCTTTTGTAACCCTCTTATATAATGACTACTTTACTACACTTTGTATCTCTTCATTGTCTTATAGGTTATCATATGCTCATGTATAAATATGGCATAGTTTAATGAAATTGAAGATAGAACACATTGCATTACCATCTATATCTTTCTCTACATTATTCTGTATTCTCTTTATTTCATAACACGTTATCAGCACCAAATCTCTAAAACATAGATTAGATTAAAGTTTTAATAATATATAATCATTTCCATAATTGTCTAGTATCAGAAGGTGAACGATGCATGTAGATCCATTCGATTCATTGACGAATAATTATTCGAATCTAATGATTATCTATTTGCCACAATTGATGACAACCTCCAAATTAGAGAATGTCAACTTCAAATTGCTATTTGTGTTGCTAATATATGTTGAATTGAAATCATACCTCAAAAGGTACGCATTTACCATCCTACCTGTATTATTAATTGATTTTAGATTGTCATGGTAAAATTTGCAATAAGAATTAATTGGATAGTGATTGGTATTAGTATTCTTTTCATATTTGTGTCGATATGCATATCTATATTCATATTTGTAAGTGATTATAAATTTGTGATAAATTGATAATTTGTAGTTCTTGTATTAATTATTGTGATCATAACATAGATTAATATTATATTTTAACAATTGCTCCAATCCGTAGGCCGTAGCATAAATTCCTCTTCAGTACTAATTCCTAGTTCAAGATTTTGAGTTGATGCATAAATTTTATGATATATAATGAGTTATTGAATCAAACTGAAAGGGTTTGTTAAACGACAATAGCTTATAATTTGGTATTTGAGAATACTAGCGTAGACCCATGTGCGCATTGCGCGCACCGATTTGCATTACGGTTGTGGTTGTATATTATGAAATTACTTGCCGAGTAGTTATTGTATTTAATGAATTAAAATTAATTTATTAATTAGTAATACTCTGTAACTTTATTATTACTCCTTGTAGACACCTAAAAATGGCTCACCAAAACCAAACCCGATGATAAACAACCTTTCGCCGCCACTATTGGTCGGGTTCAGTATTTAATCCCGAGAGTGCTTAAAAAATCGTATTTAATTGAATTCAATTTTTTGAATAGTCCATGGATCAGTCTTGATGTTTAGTCAAAGCATAGTTTTTCAATTTCAGCCCAAACTTATTTTATTTTATTTTATTGTTTTATTATTTATTTTGGCCCAAACCTTTTACTACCTCCGTTACAGGTTATGTGCAACGATTTGACATAAAGCAGAGATAGAAAATGTCTAATTGTTGCACATAACCTGTAACGGAGGTAGTATTTATTATTTATTTTAGCCCAAATAATAATAATAAATAAAAAATGGCCCGAGATTATCAATCGGCACTTAAAATGCTGAACGAAATTAGTGTTAAAAATGAAGTTAGACGGAAAAACGGACTACAGACTCCCGCATCACGGCATTTGTCCACCGTGTCACAGGAAACTGCCCCGTCTAACGGTGGGATTCCCCGTGACATGGTGCACCTGCTGTGACATGGGGAATTCCGTGTCCGTTCTGCGTAAACCCTTCACACGTTTTATTCCCCGTACCCTAAAATATTTCCTACGTCACGGGAATGTTCCCCATCTGACGGTGGGATTTCTGACAAGGTAAAGTCGTATCCCCTAATCAAAAGTAATTACCTAAGTCCTCTAACTAAAGTAGATAGGGAAGTAGGGTCGAATCCACAGGGAAACAAGTCTTTTACTCCTAATTAATTATTATAATCTAAATTATCAAGGTAACCAATATTGTTGTAAATAAAGACTTTACTACGAAGAATAAGATCGGAGGAAATAAAGTAGGGAGAAATTAAATATTAAAAGACCTAGGGCATAGGTTCACTAATAAACAATAATCCAGGACAAATCATAATAAGCAATCATCAAGCATTGATTAATCAGATTATAAAGGGCTTTTGCTACGTATTATAATCACAGAGTTAATTTACCGGTATTAAATCTCATCTGTCGAATCTCGACTTAACCATTTATAAATTAGTCCGCCTATTGAAACTAAGCCTAACATCAATTCTCATATGTCGAATCTCGAATTAATATTGCTAAACTCATACAATTAAATCTGGCCAATCCTAATTGCATAGCTTTAAATCGATCAATAGGAAATTAACCAAGCATTGATAATCAACAATCACAAATTTACCCCTTCATAATATTTATTAGATCCCCATAAACCCTAGAAATAAAACTACTCAAGCATCAACATATCTAAACTAATCAAATAAATAAAGCAAGACATAATCAAAGAAGTAAATAAAATAACTGAAATTAAAAGAGAAGAAATTGTTACCAAAAGAAATCTGGATTAATGAAAGTAATTAAGAACAAAGTTGAGAGAGAATTTAAGAGAGAGAAAATCTAAAAGAGAAGGTAATCCAAAATTACGTACATAATTCATACTTAAACACTCCTAAAACAAAAACTAAAACAAAACTAATCAGCTACTTAGAATAACACGCGCCCGATCGGGCCCGCCTTTTTACAACGCCCATTGCTGGTATGCTGCGCCTGATCGAGCCTACACTCACCCGATCGGGCGCGGCTCCTTCCTTGAGGCTACATTGCGCGCACTCGCCCGATCGGGCGTATGCTTTCCCGACCAGGCCCGGCTTCTTCTTCGAGGCTTGGATTTCCATTAGGCTCGATTCCTCGGCCCATTCCAGATTTCCTCATCGGGTCTTGATTACTTGATCCAATAGCCCCGGTATCACATACCGAGCCCTTAATCACCGGCTCTCACCGATCCTAGGCTTCAAGAATGGTTGTGTCCTTCTAGCTTCCGTAGTTGATCCATGAAAACCCGGAAAAATGCTCCAAAAGTGTAATTTCCTGTAAAACTCAACCAAAACTACGAAAACACTAGAAAACACAAATTAGTAATAAAAGTGGCCCTAAAGAGCCAAAAACACTACTAATTATGACCACGAGACGGGAGTAAAACACTATATAAATTGGACATATCGATTTCCCGTTCCACGGTGCCCTTTCCCGTGTCGCGGCACATTTTTTTTAGGGTTTTTATCTTTTTAGGGTTCTGTGTGTTCCCTCAATACATTTTTTCTATAAATACCCCCTCATTTCTGATGTACGGGGCATCAATTAATTCTCTATTTTTCTCTCCTCTATGCTCTAGCCTAAACACTAGCCTATCCTTCTTCTTTCAAAATTCCTTCTTCAAGCCTTCCAAGGAGTCCATACTTTACTCGTGGTTCTGTCCTTAAGCCAAGGCGTGAAAGTTAGAACTGTTTGAGGGTTTGGCCCCAAATCAACTCTATTTTTTTTTAATTTAATTTAATTATCGTTTTATAATTATTTCCTTGAAGTTACTAACTCGTTTATTATTTTATAGTTGCAAGCAACAGAATCAAAGTAAGAATTATGCTCTTTTTATTTCTATTATCTTTCTAACGATTTTTTATTGTTGGATTTATTGTTGAATTGCTTCAAGTATTAATGTTAATTCTATTATTGTTATTATGATCACAACATTGCATGTTAAAGGGAATATGTAATTGAAAATCACGCCTAATAAGATAATTTGGAAAACCGGTTTAGGTTCCTTTTTAATCTTGTTATTAATTCAAGTGATCACTAATATTTTAGAATTATGTGTTGCATTAATATTAAACCAATTTAGCTTAATAATAGTTTGGAGCAAATTGAATTTTTGTTTGTATGCCTTTGAGATCGCAAGAATGCTTTTCGCAATAAGAATCGAGTAGAGGCCAATACGGGCGAATGTGACTCCATAACTCACTTTGTACCATCATCCCCGATCCTCCTTTCGTGGTTCCGAACCATATGGAGTTAGTAATCTCATGGATTATGAATGGGGTGTAACCTTCACGGGTCAATCGTTGTCCCTTATCGTGGTTGCCTTTTTATGATCTGTGAACGGTTTACAAGTTCCTTAAAAACTTGTTGACGGCTCCCTACTTTCCTTGTCCCTAATCGTGTTATGTCAATTCCCACTTCCTATGAGTGCCAAACATATTCACACATGCTTTAACGTAGGCGCACTTCGAGCGACACCTACACTCCTTTTCTTGAACTTTTTTTTTATTATTTTATAATTAAAGTTCTATTCAAGTACAGAGAACAATCAACAAAAGTTGAATTGTAACTGCATAAAAACACAATCAAACGAACAAATATATTTTTTGGGAAATTATATGTAAAATTTAACTCAATTCGAATATCATACAATTCTACGATAAAAACCATATTGAGTTTCGCGGTGAAGAAGAAGGTGATGTTTCCATTGTAATCGAGATCGAATCGACAATAATCGGTTGAATCAAGCAATTAAACAACTCCGAATTTAATTTATCACTTTCACTTCATTTACTCTCCTCCTTCGTGAGCTTCAATTCAAGAACATTCTACTTGAAATATGCGCTAAATTGTATTTTTTTGGTTAGGAAAGGTTGTCGAATTGCGGAAACTTTGTTCGATTAGCTTCTCGACTGACCGAGTATTAAGCCTCATCCAATACTTTTTGTTTACTTATTTAGTTGCCATAATGCTATTTGTGGCGAGGGACTAAGAA